CCTGCTTTTTTATTTCCTTAATTAATTAGACATTCTCCACAAACATTTATTATCTCAAGTAGTTTTAAGTTATTTTATGAGAAATGTGCAGTACTTTTGTTCTGTTTCTAACTGTGATCCAGATCCATATCCATGTGTTACCATGCAAATATACATGAAATTCACTATTAATCAGTTACTTAATCATGTTCAGGGTTGCTGGGGTCTGACCCAGATATAAACAGATTATATAAACGGCCTGGATAGATCATAAGTCAATAGCTCTAACTGACAAAGACACCTTGTCGAAACGTTAGTTTTCTTTATTTGCACCTATTCAATTTTATACATTAACTGGTAGGGACTTGGTTGAAAAGGGCTTGGCTGGAAGAGAAGGTACTGGGCTAGACTTGATGGAAAGGGACCTGACTTGGAGGGGACTAGAGTTGGAGGGGACTTGGCTTGACTGGAAGGGACCTGATTGAAAATGGCTTGACTGACTGTAGGGGGCTGACAGCGGAGGTGTAGGAACCTCAGAGACCTAGGAGGCCAACGGCAGAGGCAAACAAATCCCAGGGGCCTGAGGGAAAGGCGGCAAAGGCAAAGGTACCTCGGGGGCCTGGCGTCAGAGGAAACTCAGGGGCCGACGAGCGCAGACAGAGTTGGCCAGGTTACCAACTAGGGCTGCAACAAACGATTATTTGGATAATCGATTAATCGGATGGGGTCTCGACACGATTAATCGATTAATCGGATTACATAGGGACATTTTTTAAAACTGCTAGGGAAACGTTATTTTTCTCCTTCCTTCCTTCACTTAAACACATTATTAGAAAACAGTTCAATAGCAGAAAACCAACATGCCATCACCTAAATTGTCTTATAAGGTGTATAGACAGAGACCTTAAGCTACACCTATCTGTGACCAAAAATGCTTGGTCCAAGTTAAACAGCTTAAAGAGCAAGTCAACCCCTACCAGAGTCTAACTCCACTCCCGCTTCATGTTTGAAAAATGCAACACATGCTGTTGCCTGGCAGACCGAGAGGGCTCACGACAGCATTGTGACATCATAATGTACCAGTTTACATCATAGCATACTTCTTAGCCAATAGCGGTGGCAGATTTAAATTAAAATACAGTGCAGAGTTTTTACCTGACAACGGCACAACACTGCCAGTTTTAGGCAGAATATTTAAATTTTAACTAAGATGCACTGAAGTGCCAAATTATTGACGACACGTGTCTGCAGCACGATTAGACACTCGTTTATTTAGTTTATCAGCAAAAAAAAGTTTATTTGGGGGTGACTTGCTCTTTAAGGGCAATTCTCATCTGTTTTGTTTGATCTCATCTGTAGACATTTATTATAATTGGGGATGTCAAACAACTAATTTTTAAATGAAATTAAACATAGGCTGTGAATTAATCACTATTTCCAAAAATGACTGAAAAATACCAAATAAAACAAAAGTAAATGAATGCCATCCTCCTTGTGATGATGCCCTGGGCAACTGCCTTAAAGTCACATCAAGAGATGCTGCTGATCATTCCAATGATCCCAAATAGACTCACATTAGGCCACATGAAAGCAACTGAACCCAAAAATTTATTAACCAGTATATAACTACACGCACACAACACGCCTGCAGCAACAGTTAGGACTCCTCCCTCCCCTTTAAAAGCGTTTTCGCTTGTGAGGACACTGTGGTTGTAAAGCCACATGTTAGCAGTCTGGCCCAGGTATGATCAACCAGTTTCTGGGGGCTTGGGTGAATCAAATTTTGAAAAGTTTTTTACTTACCCGGACACCGAGCTCTCTCCTTCCTCGCTGATGATTCTGACATGCTTGCGTTTAAGACGCTGCATCATCACCGTAGTATCCCCGTGCCATGCTAAGTCTGACCTACAAACGTTGCATGTCTTCGCCTGATTTAACTGAAAATGCTCCCAAACTTTAGAAGTTTTTACTTTTTTGGGGTCTCGCTGCTTCTGCCATGTTCCTCTTACAAACACCTGCCGGCTCTCCACCGGTCTGCGCGCAACGGCGGGCAGGAGGGGAGGGGGCTTTTGGAAGAGTTGCGCAACACAACGAATCGATGACGCAATTCGTTGCCAACGCTTTTAGTAATCGATTTTCATCGAATTTATCGATTCGTTGTTGCAGCCCTATTACCAACAGCCCATGTCATGAACTAGGCGAGGTTGCTGGACTGCGGGGCAGTTCTGGAAAGGTGATTGGCTGGCCTAAGAAGCTGACTGACTGGGCTGGACGGCTGACTGACTAGACTGAAACTGGAGTGGGAAGTGGAGACGCAGAAGGTTTGAATGGAGGAGGAGGCGGGAATGCCATGGACAGGAACTCAGAAAGCTGGGACACATGAAGCTGGGATGTAGGAGATGGAGACACAGCAGACTGGAATTGAGGAGGACAAAACTCAGGAGGATGGAACACAGGAGGCTGGGTTACAGGAGGTGGAGACACAGGGGACTGGAACTAAAGGTTGGTTTATGCTTGACTCGTCCGCGAGGTTCGCACGGCTCCGCGTGGCAAAATTGCATAATTTTAACAACCACGCCCCTCCACCTGGCCTCTGCACGGCCCAAACATTCCGCACCGCGCACCTAGGATATTTTCTAACCATGTGGATGGTCGAACATGGGAAAACATGGCAGACTGGCAAGAAATAGTTATGGCAGAGGTTCATAAATACAGACATTTGTATGATTCAGCCCTCAAAGATCATCGTGATCAACATGTTGTTAATAATTCTTGGAGAGAAATAGCTCACACTGTCAGAAAAGATGAGGACACTGTTAAAAAATGCTGGAAAAATATGAGGGGCCGATATGTGAAGGCAAGGAAGGGGAACAAAGGGAAAAGCGGTGATCCCGGTGGAAACAAGAACACTCCACCAATTCTAAAAGAGCTGAGTTGGCTCACACAACTGACAGGACTGCAGCAGATGGGGACACAGGAAAAGGTGGCCCAAGCACAGAATGACTGACACGGTTAAAACAGACACAAAATTGATATAGGAAATGCGGCAAGCAGCTCGAAGGTGCTAGGCCCAGAATAATGGAAAGGACTTAAGGAAAATTAGCAGGACTGGTAATAGACAGACTGGACTGGAAATTTCTGGACAAAATTTTCATGAATGACTGGATCGCTGATTTAAATTGAATGATTACTGAACCACGAGCAGGAGCTCCAACGTCCAGAAATACTCCCGGGCTGATGATGTGGACCGAAGTCCGGCGTAGGGCATGATGGGTAGTGGAGTCCCAAGGCTGGGAATAACTGAGGTGATGCAGGTTCGTTACTGGAGGTCTGGTTAGGGTTCGGTGCTGCACACAGACAGCTGGTGTGATCAGCTCTGAAAAGCATTGATCATGATTTACAGATCACGTTTATTTTTCATGGAGATCGGCCGTGGATTCCTCTTTCGTCGGCATTCCAGGAATCAAAACTAGGAACTGAAATAAAAAGCTTTGAACGATTCCAGGAAAAACTAACAGTTGGTCCCGGTTCCAATCGATGCTCGATGCTTAACCCTATACTTAGAACAAACAACTAATTACCAGACTACGTATCGCCTCTGTCAGTGTGTAGCCACAGCTGCCCTGGGGCTACACAATGTAGCTCATCATAAGCAGTGTGTGAATATGTATGTGAATGGATGAATGATATACTGTAGTGTAAAGTATTTGGAGTCTTATGACTCTAAAAGGCGGTATACAAGTGCGGGCCATTCATATATAAAATCGACTAGACTTAAAGGTATAGCTGAAGATCGTTTTATTCCGAGTGGATCGTCTGAACCATTGATTCGTATAACTGTCAATCATTCTGGTGAATCATTCACAGAAGTCCATTGTCATACGTACTTGTTGCTGGGTAGTTTTCATTTCCTGCGCATGCGCAAAGTGAAGGTTGGGCTCACCAAAGTCGCCTCTGTCGCTGGTTTTCTGCTCAACAGGTAAGCTAAAGTTCGGCATGCTATTTGGTGAAATTCATTTCAGATTACTGCTAGAAGAAGTACTGCAAGGCCGGCAGCTATGTGCACGAGGATAACTGGGCGTTCTCTCTCGTCTTTTTTTCAAAACGTGGAGAGGGCGGTTCTTTCCTGAAATTCAGAGAAATCCCCCACCTAACCTTGAAATCTGTGCCATCTTGAAAATTACACTGAGTCTTCACCAAGACAAGCATGTTTACACTACCGGAACTTCGCGGTAATTTCATCGGACTTTCCCAGCATGAGCAGCAGATGTCACCCAAGAATTTTCTATACAGGTATTTTTCAGTTGGTTAGCTATCAATGGGTGTGTGTGTGTGTTTGTGTGTGTGTGTGTGTGTGTGTGTGTGTGTGTGTGTGTGTGTGTGTGTGTGTGTGTGTGTGTGTGTAGTGATGCCAAGTAAAGGATTACAAAGATAGACCAAAGATTTTGGCTTCCTTCACTTTTGGCACATTGACTCAAAATCTTCCCGATAAAAAAACAATGTTTTCTACTTGTTTCCTGAAGAAATTATGCAATGTATAATTTAGATTTTTGTAATGATGAGATGAACGACACGAGTGAACTTGTGTGATCATATCTTTTTTTCAACACAAAGTTTATAGAAAACTTCTGTCTGCTGCATTGACTATAAACAAGCGACCATCTCCAGCACTAAGACAGATTGAATTCATTTACAGTCTGCTACACTCTACATATCAGATAAAACAGAATTACACAACCGTTCTCAAGGTGACAAGTTGAGTGAATGCCTGATGAATCTAAAGCAGCAGCCAAGGACAGTGACTACACTATTCAACAGGAACTGAGCCCCGTCGACCTGCCTCCCTGTGTCACAAATGTTCCCATCATATGGTCTAACAGCTGAGCCAGAGGAAGTTAATATCTATGTAGCCTTTGCAATATGCTGAAGTCCTATCCAAACAAGATATTGAGTTATCTTGCAAGTTGTCTTAATATTGCAGTTAAGTGTAAAGAAGCAGGAAGTCTGACAAAGGAACTTACCAGTATCTTTGAGGTGTAGGCGCTGTTAAGGGAGATGGCATAGTAAAGTAAGTCCAGTGATTTGGGTGGTAACACTCCAGGATCTGGAATCTTCTTGTAGTGCACATCGCCAACGTAGCACTGCACAGCAGTCATGCGGTTGGTGGTTAGGGTACCCGTCTTGTCAGAGCAGATGGCTGTGGCATTGCCCATTGTTTCACAGGCATCTAGGTGACGCACAAGGTTGTTGTCCTTCATCATTTTCTGTTGACAGGAAATGTGTGCTTTTAAAACAACTGTAGTGAGACTGCAGAAATAGAAATCTAATTACAAGAAAAAATCTGAAGATTTCCAACAGAAAGACAGTGTCTTCAGTAAATCAGGCAGCCAAATTTGTCCTGCGTGTTAGTTCGTGCATGCATGCATATGTGTGTGCTTACTTTTACAGAGTACGCCAGTGAGATAGTCACAGCCAGCGGAAGGCCCTCTGGTACGGCCACCACCAACACCGTCACACCGATGATAAAGAATTTCACAAAGTACTGGACGTAGATAGGAGTACACTCTTGCTTCCAGGGACGCTTGTTCATCACAAAGTTGTCAATGCAGAAATACAGGACCAAGATGATGACTGTAATAGCTGACATGATCAAACCTGTAGGAGGTAAAGAGGGTGTCATGATGGAAGAAAACCACTAAAGTAGGCTCTTCTTTTTAAGGTAGTTTGGTTTGTTTTAACTCACACTTTTATTAGACAAGTGTTCATATCTGGTAAGTTTCATTGAAATCCAAACTGATTTTACTGCAGCATTTGTTTGATTGTGTTTATCAGGAAAACAAAACTTGTTTGGGGGTCCTTTTTATGACTTTTGAAGATTTATTTTAACCACAGGCAGAAAAGGAACCATATATGGTCACTTTATTGGCTTGATTTACCAAAATTTTCTAAAAAATATAAAACAAAATCATGCTAAATGCAGAAGAAGGGAAAGTAGTTGTGTTGGAAAGCTGATTAAACAGAACACTAATTGTTAAATCTAAAAGCTCATTTAATAAGTGATTTAAAATCAGTTAAATCAAGACAGTTCAGATTAGAACCAATAATAGTACAGAACCTGAGTTAATCCTTATAGATTATATGGATCCAATCCATGTATGTTATGTTGGAAGTATACAAATGCTTAAATCACTATGTATCAATATATATTTATAGATTTTTACAGAATTCTTCTACAAGTCACATTTTTAAACATTACGATTTAGAATGAATCTTTAAAGAAAAATAAGTCCAGAAGGTTTATTTTATGCAATAGTTTTACTAAAATAATGCTATGAGATCATATAATCTATCTACAGTCTCTGAAGTGCATTAAGTAACAATGATCTCACAGTGTAGTTTGTATGCTAATCCATTCATGGTATCTCATTGTTGACACTATGTCCCCATTCTGTCACTCAGGCCAACACTTTGATACAACAGTATGCTCAAAAACCAAGGACATCTTTGGGGGATTCTCTAAAAACTTCACATTTCAAATAAGAATTTGTTCATCAGTAATTCCACTGCATCTTTTACTACAAACGTTGGAATTCATTGACATGCTCTTGACATCAACCCATGTCCACTCTAAATGGTGTTAAATAATCTTAGAAACAATTGAGACACATAACGGTCAGAATTCAAACATTACAGAAACATAGCTGGAGCCAGAAAAGTGAGTCATCATTTTCTCAAGGGCAGGTCCTTTAGAAAAATCCAGTGAATAGGCTTCTAAAGTTGTATAATTCAAACACCTGAGCTTTCTCCTTGATGGCTTTTATTCCTTCAAGCAACTACAAAGTAGGCCTTCTCAGCGCAACATATTTATTTGATGGACAGGATGATGGTTCAGTGGCTTGTTGTCACTGATTTTCTGCCTGGGTGAGTGATAGATACATCTGTGTGCAATTTGCTGTACCTGCTTTGCCAATCTGGACAGCCAGTTTGGTCAGCTTCCCTTGCAGCACAGACTTCTCTTTCTTTGGAGCTGACACTTTCTTCTTCTCTTTTTCGTCGGCCTCTCCGCCTTCAGCACTCTTTAAGGGCTGCATTTCCATGGCAGCTGCTCCATCCTGTTTCTTAACTGTAAACACCAGAAGGGAAAAAATAACAAGAAAAAGACAAAGTCATTGTTATTTAATAAAGATAGGTCCGCCGACACAAAAAAGGGCAAGCTGAGACTTGCTCTTTGGTATTTGTTTATTTATTTAAAATACATTTTTACTTTAAAATCTTTAAGATATAAACATAAAAATAATGAGCACTAACAAGTGGAGTCAACGTAAAATATTTAGAGGGTTGCTGAGCATTTGACAAAAATAATTACAACTCGTTCATAACACATCTTATAAACACAAAATAGAATATATGTTCCGCACAAAAAATATAAATCTACCTGAAAAGAAATAAAAAGGTAAAACAGGGGTAAACTGAAAAAGAAATTCACAACACAAATAAGAAGTATAAGTAAATAAAAACAATAAAAACCTTTTTTTAGATATACCAGAAGCTAATTTATTTTATATCTACAGTGATTTTCCAACTCCAAACAAATATTACTACTAATTTGCTTTGCTGAGTTTCAAAAATAAATGTAAAAGATAATACAAGTGCAACCATCTCTGCGAATTTACTATAAAACCAAAGTTACCCCTTTGCTTTTTACATATCAGAGTTGAAAATTTTCTAAACAGTGCACATGCGCTCCGGACAGAATTCATCATTTCTTTCCTCAGATTGAGTAATGAATCTTTGCTCTGTAAAATGTTTTTCTAGATGTTTTGTACAAAAGAAAAAAAGTTCAGGTAGTAAAAATAGACCTCTATTACCTCACTCCATCTCCAAAACTTCATTCCCCTTTGACAAACATGCACAAAATCCAGTGTTAATGGAACCCATTATCAAGAACCATCTCAGTCCAGGTTTTCTATCACAATGAGGCAAGCGTTCGACCGTCATGAAAATCCTTTTAATGTTGAACATTCATCTTACTCTACTGTTGAGCATTCTGTTTTGCCACCCTTGTGACACAAGACAGAAAGTTTCTTCTTCATCCAGCTGTTACTAAGCTGATGAGCAATGCTTAATAAATAAAAAATGGAGAACATTATTTATTCTCTGAATAAAGACGGTTTGCATCACACACTAAAAATGTTGATGCTTGATTAAAATGATCAAAATGACGTGCTTCTAGTGCAGCCATGTCTCAGATATATTTTCATCAGACTTTTTGGTTTTATTTTTTTGTTCTTTACTTAATTTATACAAATTGGTAGCAACTTGACTCACAGATGTATTAGATAGCTTTGTTACAGCTAGTAAAATGTACCTCAATAACATTGGGTGATTTGAGGAAATATATGTTAATTAATACCAGTTCTAATATGTTGTAAGTTATCAGGGAGTTTTACTATTTGATAAATGACAAAAGGCTTGTGACTGAGTACAACAGAAGTAAATGGGCAGGGCAAAATTACAATACTGGAAAATCACTGTTAAGTTACACCACTGTTTATTTCTTAAAGGAGACACATTATGACTTCTTAATTTAGAATAGTTCTATGGCCTATAAAACATTTTAATTAAGTTATTTGCACTCATCTCTCTCCTTCCAGAACGAGCCATTTCTGGGCTTGTCACTTTAAAAAATGCAAGTTGGAGCTGGCCACACCCACACTTTCCCCCACTCAAGCTGCTACAAGCTGAGAAGCTCTTATATCTGGGAGGGGCTCAAAATTGAGCCACTGCCGCTCCAGCAGCAGCTCTTTTCATAAAGGAGGACTTTTTGAAAAAGCTTGTTTTAGGCACATCATTCCTGAAACTCTAACAGGAAATGATTAGATGCTTTATTTTTATAATTGAAGTGCTTATAGAGGCAGTAAAGACCCAAATGGCTGAAAAAAAGAATGGAAAAGGGAAATATTGCATAGTGTGTCCCTGTTCCTTTTCTTTTTATATTATCGTTGACTTTATTGGTTTTTCTATTACAGTTATTAGTTTGATTTAATACATTTGTATGATGATGCCGATTATTGTTGTTACTGTTTTAAAGGCTGAAATGCACAAGCTTATGTTTTAGAAATAGCAATTAGATATGTAACCAAAAACAATGAAAACTCCCATCAAATAATTTTCCTTTATGTTCCTCTTTTATTCAATTAATGTCAAATGTATTAAATTTCTTAGACCTCAATCTCATGATTATTACATTCGTCAAGCTTCTGCCCCATTGATAAGACATCAACTTCCCTGTGGAAGACCTAAGTACTGCAGAAGATAAGTGCCAATAATGTTTTATTACTCTTCTAATGTATTAAATATACCTAATCAAATGTTTTCAATAATTATATAATTGTTTTATTGATATTATCTTATTAATTGGTCAATCTTTTGGCAAATAAATCAGATTTTTATATAATCTAACAGCATGTATACACGTTCTTTGTAAAACAAAAAAAGAGATAAATGAACATTTTTAAGTATTAAAGTATGTTTTCAATATATTGCAGCCTAAATACACCTAAAAATAAAATAAATCTAAACTTTTTCCCTAATACCACACCACTGGGAATTTTAGGATCATGAGGGAAAACATTTTCATGATGGGTAAACCTGAAAAGGGTAAACATTTTAAGACAAATGACTCAAAAGTTCTGGATGCTTCTGGAGAATAGAAAATGTAAGAGTGGGGGACACAGAACAGCTGACAGACAGGCTGCTGTTCTATCAAAAAGAACACAATGAGCTGCCGACAAAATGAGCAAGACATCAAACCACGAACATTGCATCAGGACAGAAAATGAAAAGATGGAGATTCTAACCTATCAAGCAAGAGTAAAAAAAATAGAAAAATTATTTAGTTTAATGCTTTATATAAAGAATAAAACTGACTTTAGTCACTGAAAGACTGCTAAAACTGCAGCCCTTTGATAAATTGTATTATCATTATTGGGAAAATTGTCATTATTGGGAAAAATGTGGGCTGAAATCAAAAAAACAATGTTGGATTATTTTTTCTTCATGGCTTTGATCTAAAAACTGATACCAAACACCGTAAAATAGATTCAAAAGGAAGGATGATAGAGGGACTCGGGAGAGAGTGAAACAGATGATTTGGTTACCTTTTATCTGGTTGTTCTCCAAATTGCCATCCTGCATTTTACCTATGATGAGGACGTACAGGACAATAACAACAAGAATACACAAGGCAGACAAGTCAACAAGTCATCCTCACAGAGATGGCACAAACAGTGAAACCCAAAATTTACAAACAGGGACAAGGGATAATGACTTTTAATAACACCTTTGTGACGATCACATGCAAAAAGTCTGTGATGCATAAGTGATGATTTCTACTGTGAGCCACTCACAGAGCTCAATACACAAATGAGTTATCCCACATACATATGCCGATTTACCTGTGTTAAATGAAAATCACTTAAATATGTTTAGTTTAATTTGATTTGTTTTTATACTTTCGCTAAAGCAAATCAAGCGTAATTTAAAGACTCAATGTTGAAACATTATATGCGCATTTCTTCCATCTTTAAAGATTTACAAATTCTAAACACATCATCAACCAAATGAGGCAAATTACTAAATTACAAGAGGAGGTAAAACACAAACGGCAATTACAGCATTACATTGAGAGTGAGGAAGTGTAATCCACAAACACACCCCGAGAACATGAACAAGATAGAGCATGCAGAAAGAAGGAATTTCACAAAACACATGCTTGAACACTTTAAGAAGTAAGCAGACTGAAGATGTGAACTGAACAGGAAGTGATGAAAAGAAAAACCACTAAAGTAATAAGTGGGGGAAATTGTGAACTTACCAACAGTCTAATTAAAACATCTAGAAAAGCTAAGAATCTCAGTAAATATACTTTTAGGCTAATTTGTGTGTATTTCTGTCATCTGAACTTCAGTTAAATCTGTTGTGCCTAATGGCACAAAGCAATATATCCTGGTGGGAACAAGCAAACCTGAGCAGGGTCATTTTAACATCACTCACACATTAACCCTGGTTCACACTGTGTGTTTTTGGCCGTCGCAAAGGACTGCTTCATGTCACAATATGAGGCATCTAGAGAGGTGACACACTACACGGACAAAGATTTCAGTAAGTCAACCTGCACGACGCATCGCTCCAGCAGGATACGCTAACATCAAAAGCACACTAATGGGCCATTCCCATCTGTACCGGGTCGGCCCGGGCCGGGTAGCCCCAGTCGGCCCCAGCCTGGCCCGGTTGATTCCACACATCCTTGTCTTAAGCCCATGTGGGCTGATTCTACCCACTAATCAGAGGCTTGCTCTAATGGAAGGTGTGAATTTGCTGTCAGCAGTGGGTGTGTTGGCCCTGGTCGGCCTGAAGCAGACCCCCTCGAGAAGAGGGCTGAGAATGAGCCTTGGTTGGCCCGGAAAAATACCAGGCCACCCAGATATGTAAACAACCTACGCTACCCGGCCCGGGCCGACCCGGTACAGATGGGAATGGCCCATAAATGTCACTAAAAGCTGACAACGATGAAAAGAGAAAAAGGCACCAACGTTAACACTTCTTTTATTAGACTCTGAACCAAACTCCAAAAAGGAGTGGTCCACATGTTCTTGCATGTAGCTTCCACTGTTGCTATGTTGCTAAAACTACTCTTGCACTGTACACTTATCACTTGTTTTTTAGGTCACTCTGTGAGTGTTGGTTCATTGGTCGATTGAAGACTGGAGTTGTAGGTTTTCTAACACTGCTTGATAAGTGTTTGAAGCTGAATTTGGTTGTGAGAATGCTCAATTAGCGGTTACATGGCCGGTCAAACAGGGCGGCCGAAGATCTGCAAAACACCCTCACGGTCACCAACTTTTGTCCCAATTCTTTTTGCAACGAGAGATTTTAGCCAGATCTATGGAGTGAAAATATGACAAATTTGCTCTGTACCAACCCAGGACAGCACAAGGTCACTGTTTCAGTGTAAATTAGGCCCTTCCCATCCTGAGTATACACTTTAGAAGATGCTCTCCAAGGACATAAATAAGGAGAGAAATCAGCACAACTATGAAAACGTTCATCTTCTGCATTCCTTCCAGCTGACACAAAAAATTGAGGATTTGAACAAAGTTATCCCAGAAGACAAAAAAGAAGATAGCCTACAAAAGAATTCCACCATTACACTTTAGCTGAGTTCTAATCTGCATTCAAATATGTAAATTATTTAAGTAAAAATTAAAATGGCAATTTAGATTTATTGCAAATAACTACATTTGGAAAAATAAAACATGTCTCTAAACATAATGGCAGATGTTTAGGTGTGTCACTTTTAAAGAACTTTAAAACGTTTCCAGTGACAATACTTACATAGAAAAAAATACATGACAGTATAAAGACAAGAACAAGAAACACAACTATTATCTACTTCTAGATCAGGCATGCACTGATAGCATAAATACAAAAAGGTCCAAAACAACTGAGGGCAGAACGCAGCAAAAGGTGAGCACCCATAGTGGGAGGCAGCTGGAGGATGGAGAAAGGTAGGAAGAGTCAAAGGTCACAACAGAAAGATCAGACATTTTGTCAACCTACCATTAATTAGGCTGGCACTGCCAGGGGCATTAATGCCTGCAGCCCCATCCGTGGCAATAGTTGCAATGGGGTGGATAGGGGGATGGGAGCAGTCTAGCCAGTAACAATGAGGGTCAATCCGGAATGAACACACACATGCACGCGCGCACACACACACACACACACACACACACACAAAACATGCCCAGTGATGTGCACACACAAGACAGTGAACAGAAATAACATGGTTATAGCACATTGCAGAGATTCAGGATACAATGCAAATGTATTTATCTGTAAGAACTACAGTGTAATCCTAGATATTTGAAAATGCTAAATCAATTATATTTATATTTTACTGATGATAAAAAACATTAGCGTGTAACAGAAAACAAGCATTAAACTCAAAATCTAAACATACTACAGAAAGAGAATCCCAGTTAATTGAAAAAGTAGCTTAAATTGTTTGGGATGCTCCGATCTGATCACGTGATTGGAAGGGATCGGGATTGGGAGGAAAATATCGGACTTAACCTTTTCAAACAACAAACATGACATTTTAAATTCACCCTGAGATAATGAGTTTTTAATGGAACAAAAATGGCTTAGTTTTAATTTCAACAAGTTCTTCTACATCTATTTATTTATTTATTTTGTACGAAAACAAAACAGTAACGTCACACAATTTACGGCAGGCAGGGATTCAGACACCAAAATGCAGCTGTTAGCAAGCAGGCTAACGCAGAGCTAACATGTCTCCTCAGGAGAGCTAAAATGTCTGCAGCTTAGTGGTATTTTAAACTGGACAGAGTAGGCAGAGCTACAGCCACTTGTAATGTGTGCATAATGGGCATTTAACATGCTGGAAATGGCAGCTCCATGACATGCTGCCTTCAAAACGGACTGCCTTCCTTTTGGGCTTTTCCCTTTGAGCATCAATAAAGCTAATCACCGGTCTCCATTAATTCCCAGTTTGCCACTAACAGTCCCAGTTCCCAGCAAACTCAGGCAAAAATGCAAAGCCAGCCAACAGAGAAAGATACACTAATAAATAAATAGAAATTGCCAAGAGATTGCAAAATGTGGGGTTAGCTTCCTGCAGCACCTGAGCTGTGAGGCAGTTGCAGGTGTTATATAGGGAAAAGTTAGCTTGCCACCCAAGGCTTCGCCTGCCTGCTCTGTCACGGGAACAGGCTTTGATCGCCGCTGCAGGGAGTAAACTATTTTAAATAAGAGCAACGCTGCTACTTTGAAATATATTCACTATATAAACACATTTTGTAATCAGTGTACTTTCCAAACAAGTGAAAGCAAAAACTTATAGAACTATTTAGACGTGTTTTCTTCCTATTTTAATGCTTTTCTGAAAAGTCTCAGATCGGGACTCTCTATCAGCAGATACATAAAATCAAATGACTCGGAATCGAATTGGGAGCAAAAAAACGTGATTGAAACATCCCTAAAAATAATCCTACTGTCAGAAGATTTGTAGACAACCCTTAACTATTCTTTACAAAATCTCACACGAGATAACAGAAGTAATTCAATTTTATTCCTGATAGATGATGCTTTGAAGACTTTAGTTAAATTTACTTGAACCATGTTATTCATGTAATGTCTATTAACATCACAAAATCATAAATTTAATTGCTTCATAACTAACAAATAACCACAACAAAAACATTTGATCTGCAAAGTAAAAGAAACAAAATATTAGAAGAATCCAATTCTGTGCCAAGAACACACAAACTGGTAACCAGTTAATTGAAGAGGCAAATAAACTTTATAATTCGGTGAAGTTTCCAAAATAGGTTATCTCTGAAATTGAGAACGCTAACATGAACTTTGGTTTGTGGTAAAAATAAAAATTTTTTACTCTTCAAATGTTTAAAGTCTGGAGGCTTTTTATATTTAAAGCAGAATTTCAGCACTTTTGGTATAAGATTCTTCATTTGTGTACAGTGAACAGTAGCAGTTTCCTCACACTTCTAATTCAACATAACATTTAGTTTGTTTCCATTGAAAACTCTTACTTTTTAGTAAATTACAACAAAAAGAGAATGTGAAGTTAACTATCCCCTTTCATAAAAAGAAACTGGATGATCACATAATTTCCTTTAGTTGTTGAAACTGATCAGATCAGTAAAAACATTTTTTTTGCTAAGCTTAAATTTCAAGTAATCCAAAATTTAAAATACTATATGGAATTTATTGGATTTCAGATCAGAAAATGATCGTGTGGTTTTATTTGGCTTCTAATGAATTGTCCAAGGGAGAGCAGTGAGGTAAAATAAGCTTCAAGGCATACTGTTATCATGCAAGCTATAGTGGTGTTTGCTCATTCAAACAACAAACCTGTAGCAGTATTCAAATATGCAGACTACAGGGTAATAAAAATATGAATTCACCATCAGACAAAAGCTTTTGTTGCCTAAGTTACGCCGCACTGCTGGTACATGTGATGTGCCCCTGCAGGGGTGTCACTCTCATGTAATTTTTTCATAACAGAGTAATGAGATGAGACAGAGAGGCTGTTGCAGCAGGACTGCTGCAGGATATGAGTGAGTTAGTGGATGAGAGCAAAGCTTTGTTTTAGTCAGAAGGGGTTATGCACTCAGAAGTATGTCATCTATCAATACCCATCCATCCATCCATCCATTTTCATCCGCTTATCCGGAGTCGAGTCGTGGGGGCAGTATCCTAAGACGAGAGGCCCAGACTACCCTCTCCCCAGCCACTTGGGCCAGCTCCTCCGGGGTAATCCCAAGGCGTTCCCTGGCCAGGTGAGAGACATAGTCCCTCCACCGTGTCCTGGGTCTACCTTTAAGTCTCCTCCCAGTTGGACGTGCCCGGAAAACCTCACCAGGGAGGCATCCAGGAGGCATCCTGACCAGATGCCCGAGCCACCTCAACTGGCTTCTCTCGATGTGGAGGAGCAGCGGGTCTACTCCGAGCCCCTCCCGAATGACCAAGCTTCTCACCCTATCTCTAAGGGAGAGCCCAGCCACTCTTTGGAGAAAACTCATTTCGGCCGCTTGTATCCGCGATCTCGTTCTTTCGGTCACTACCCAAAGCTCATGGCCATAGGTGAGGGTAGGAACGTAGATCGACCGGTAAATCGAGAGCTTTGCCTTCTGAGTCAGCTCTCTCTTCACCACGACAGACCGGTAGAACGCCCGCATCACTGCAGATGCAGCACCAATCCACTTATCGATCTCATGCTCCAGTTTTCCCTCACTCGTGAAGAAGACCCCGAGATACTTAAACTCCTCCACATGGGGCAGGACCTCATCCCTGGCCCGGAGAAGGCATTCTACCCTTTTCCGAATCAAGACCATGGTCTCAGATTTAGAGGAGCTGATTCTCATCCCAGCTGCTTCACACTCGGCTGCGAACCGCTCCAGCGAAAGCTGAAGATCACGTTCTGATGAAGCCAACAGGACCACATCATCTGCAAAAAGCAGAGACCTGATCCTCAGGCCACCAAAACGGATGCCCTCCACACCTTGGCTGCACCTAGAAATTCTGTCCATAAAGGTTATGAACAGAATCGGTGACAAAGGGCAGCCTTGGCGGAGTCCAACTCTCACTGGGAACGAGCCCGACTTACTGCCAGCAATGCGGACCAAGCTCTGACACCGGTCATACAGAGACCTAACGGTCTGTATCAGAGGGCCTGGTACCCCATACTCCCGGAGTATCCCCCACAGGGCCCCCCGAGGGACGCGGTCAAACACCTTCTCCAAATCCACTAAACGCGTGTAGACTGGTTGGGCAAATTCCCACGCACCCTCCAGGATCCCCCTAAGGGTATTGAGCTGGTCCAGTGTTCCACGGCCAGGATGAAAACCACATTGCTCTTCCTGAATCTGAGGTTCAACAATCCGATGGACACTCCTCTCCAGAATCCCTGAATAGACATTACCAGGAAGACTCGGAAGTGTGATCCCACTGTAGTTGGAACACACCCTGCGGTCCCCCTTTTTAAATAAGGGGACCACCACCCCGGTCTGCCAGTACAGTGGGACTGCCCCCGATGTCCACGCAATATTGCAGACGTGGGTCAGCCAACACGGCCCCACAACATCCAGAGCCTTAAGGAACTCCGGGCGGATCTCATCCACCCCTGGAGCTTTTTAACCACCTCAGTGACCTCAGCACCAGAGATTTGGGAGGCTAACCCAAAGTCCCCAGAATCTGCTTCCTCACTGGAAGATGTGTCGGTGGGATTGAGGAGATCTTCGAAGTATTCTGCCCACCGATCCACAACGTCCTGAGTAGAGGTCAGCAGCACGCCGTCTCCACAATAGATAGCGTTGGTAGCAGAACGAGGGAGTCACCGGGAGGAGCGCTCTCCAGCACCCCCTCCAAGGTCTCCAAAAAGGGTGGGTAGTCTGAACTGTAGTTTGGTGCGTACACACAGACCACAGTCAGAACCCATCCCCCCCACATGTAGGCGGAGGGAGGCTACCCTCTCATTCACTGGGGTAAACCCCAAAAGTACAGGCACCAAGATGGGCGGCAACTAGTATGCCCACCCCTGCTCAGCGCCTCTCAGTGGGAGCAACTCCAGAGTGGTAGAAAGTCCAAACCCTCTCAAAGAAACTGGTTCCAGAGCCAGAGACATGTGTTGAGGTGAGTCCGACTATAACTAGTGGGAACCTCTCAACCTCACACACCAACTCAGGCTCCTTCCCCACCAGAGAGGTGACAAGCCATGTGCCAAGAGCCAGCTTCTGTAGCCGAGGATCAGACCGCCAAGGTCCCCGCCCTCGACTACCACCCGTCACACACTGCACCCGACCCCATTGGCCCCTCCCACAAGTGTTGAGCCCATGGGACGGGGGAACCACGTTTCCTCTTCGGGCTGTGCCCGGCCAGCTCCATGGGTGAAAGCCCGGCCACCAGGCGCTCGCCAGCGTGCCCCACCTCCAGGCCTGGCTCCAGAGGGGGGCCCCATTGACCCACGTCTGGGCAAGGGAACACAGTTTCCATTTATATAATTCATCATAAGAGGTCTTCGGGCTGCTCTTTGTCTGATCCCTCACCTAGGACCTGTTTGCCATGGGTGACCCTACCAGAGGCAGAAAGCCTCGGACAACTTAGCTCCTAGGATCATGGAGACCCTCAAACCCCTCCACCACGGTAAGGTGGCAGCCCAGGGAGATCTGTCAACACTTAAAGAGATAAAATGTCTCTTTAAGTGAGGAGAAAAGCTGCTTCTAGGGTGCTTGGCAGAAAAGTGGTAATTAATGACATGATTCATTAAAGACCATGAGTAGTTTTTAATGTTTAAAGGTTCAAGAACAACTCCTGAGGGTCAGAGAAAAGCGATACTCTACCTGTATTCTGATGTCCATCTTCCACTGCCCCTTCTTCCAGGTGAATTTGGAACAATAAGAGAGTAATAAACAATAATGCACCTGAACCCACAGAACCTGAATACTGCAGCTTGCAACTGTTCCACCAATACTCACTTCTTAATAGAATTGTTACTAGTATTATTCAGTGTCACATGCTGACTTATAAACACTGATTAAAGATTCAATAACAAAATCCATCTAAACGTTTTATACAGAGCTAACAGACATTAAAAAACATCAAAATTATGCAATGAGCTACACAGACTTTTAGCACATAAAGTAATGGAATGAGAAATATTGCTTTTTGAAGGTATGATGCAAGACAACACTGGCAGGCAAACACACACACACACACACACACACACACACACACACAAACACAACAAAACCTCTTTCAGGAATTTGAGAAAAACCTCACAAGGAAAGTGAGGTTATTTACGATATAATGACCTTACCTTTCTTTTCTTTCTTTTCCTCTTCTTCTGTGCTGGCCCCCAGTAAAGTAAAGATGATACCGGTCTGGGAGTTCACACCAACCGCAGTCACCACCATGCGTCCTGACCCCTCCATGACATGTGTACCTAAAAGAGGCATAGAAATGTAGCATGTAAATCCATTCCTAACCCCTGCTACTGCTACCACCATAACACCTTTAAAACAGGGGTAACCACGCATGTGCACTCGTCGTTTTCCTCTTTTATTTGTCGACTAAAATGTTCATCAATATTCATCATAATTTAGTATTGTAAGACAGTTTAACTCCCTATCAATTTGTGAACAGGTTTTGTGTTTTGGTTTGAGTTTTGTTAGGTCAGTGAATGCAACACAGCAGCTAGAATAGGTTATCGCGAGAATGTGTTTATTTTTTTCCAGTTCCTGTAGGACTGTTGTCTCTCGCTGCTCGTTGCATGGACACCGATGAACGCTGTCTGTTCCAGAGCCGAAGACTGAACACAACAGGGTGCGTCATAAAACTTTGAATAAGCAGTCATTGTAACTTACCCTGTTGTTGGAAGAAGTAAACTTCGTGATTGAGATCCCATTTTGTTGTGTAGCTGCATGTACTCACACACCTCCATCACACCGGGAAACGAAAGCACGACAGTATTTATAGGTGTACAAATTTATGACGAAATAACACTGCTAAAGCGTTTTATAGACTTTAAGATATTGCTTTCACACTGGTTTTAGAAGTTCTGGAAGCATAAATTTCACCAACTTCAGATTGTACCGAATTCTACAGCTGCCCGGAAACTGTATATAACAGTTCTGTATTTCAGGTAGGAAAAGTAGTGGGATGTCTCTACCTGCTTTATGGAAACAGCTGTTTACTATGCCGGTAGCTAGAATAAAAGTTAGCTATTAGCTTCTATAATTTGCAGACTGTCAAAAAGAAGAATTATATTTATGTTTATGTATTTAGCAGACGCTTTTGTCCAAAGCGACTTACAAGTGATAATCAAGCCAGCAAACACATGAAAAGAGTTTGGATTGTCCTGAGCATGGTGTAGGCACTGCTAGACGACAATCCTTTGATGACCGGAGCGACCTGTCCGTGATATAAGCCTTTACAAGAGGATTAGATGGGAGCCGTACCGTCCAGGACTTTGTATGCTAGTGTTAGCGATTTGAATTTGATGCATGCAGCTAGCGGTAGCCAATGGAGCTCAATGAACAGAGGGGTGACATGTTCTTTTTTAGGCTGATTGAAGACCAGATGCACCGCTGCATTCTGGACCATTTGAAGAGGTCTCACAGTACAGGCTGGAAGACCGGTTAGAAGGGCATTGCAGTAGTCGAGGCGGGACATGACAGTGTATTGCACCAGCAGCTGGGTGGCATATTGCGTTAGGTATGGTCTGAACTTTCGCATGTTATACAGCGCGAAGCGGCATGAACAAGCTACAGAGGCAACGTGATCTTTAAAGGTCAGCTGTTCATCAGTCACAACACCCAAATTTCGAACTGCCTTTGAAGGAACCTGAGATTGGGAATTATTCTGGATTGAGATATTGTGCTATATGGATGGTTTTGCTGGGATGGCAAGTAATTCAGTTTCAGAGAGGTTGAGTTAAAACGGTAGGATTTCATCCATTTTGATATGTCAGAGAGACAGGTTCGGGCAGAGAATGTGTGGTCATCTGGCAAGAATGACAGATAGAGTTGGGTGTCGACGGCATAGCAGTGGTAGGAGAAGCCATGTCATCGAATGATCTCACCCAGTGAGGTGATGTATATGGCAAAGAGAAGAGGCCTTAGTACAGAGCCCTGGGGGACTCCTGTGGCAAGATGATGAACAGCAGAAGATTGTCTGAGCCAAGATACACTGAATGATTGTCCTGTGAGGTATGATCTAAACCAGAAGTGTGCTTTTCCTGTGATGCCCATACTAGAGAGTATAGAAAAAAGGAAGCCATGTTTGAGAGGGTCAAATGCAGCTGATAGATCAAGCAGGATAAGTACTGACGATTTGGCAGGATTATTAATATTATTATTATTATGCTTTTGTTTGTTGGTATCATGGCGGAGCCTGGAAGTAAAATAAAATATTTATGCCTTTGGAGGCAAAGCAGAGAGCTAAAATCACAGCGATCATTGGTGTAGCCTACGCTCATTTGAGGGAGTTAAAAGAGGCTACAAAAACACAAACTGATAGATGGATTTACTTTGTGGCTTATTTATTATCAGTTGGATCATCTTAGCAATAGCTCGTTGTTAGCGCTAGCTACAGCAGGTTGCAGCAGGGTTGTTAACAGTTGTAATTCCACTTTTATATGTGTTGCTTTAAAATTCAAATAAAATAAATGTTTAATTTCTTAATAGATCCATAATTTACAGGTACAACTGAACAGCCTTGGGCTCTATTCACTCGTCAATATACATTGTCTTAATTACCAAGGTTGTTCAAGAGTTTTTCAAAAGAAAGATTAAAGGTGTAGCAATCAATGTTTCTGAAGAACCGCCCTCTCAACATTCTTTAACATGCGTGGAGCATGCTCGTGCATGCTCTGTTTCCAAGCAACTGCCGGCTTTGCATCACCTGTTGACTCTAGCAAATTCTTTTTTTTCCCAGAATGTCAGATTCTCCACCAGTAAGTTATATTCCATGTAGCATTACGAGCATCTTCATAGCTAACTATAGCATTACAAAAAAAAGCTATCAATTAGCATATAAGTTATATTGTTTTGCTGATTGGTTTAGAGCTTTCCTGAGGAAAGTCTTGTTGGTTCCGATTCGGACTACGAGCCCGTGCTGTATCGAGTATAGAACTGTTAAAGGGAATGATGAAACTGAGAAAATCACATCAAATTGATCAAATTATAATTTTGTCATTGGTTATTTTATATGTTTCAACCACGAAAATGAGCTGACAGCAAAATATAGACTTTTTGTCCGGTACCAAACACACACATACACACACACACACACACACACACACACACACACATATATATATATATATATATATATATATATATATATATATATATATATACACACACACACACTACATACACAAAGAACATCATTAACCTTTTGGATAGTAAGTTGATGTGGGTGAATATGAGGCTAATTAAGCCAGGCAGGAAAAGGCACACAGCTAATCAGCTAATCCACAAGAGGAAAAAAAATTCAAGACGTGGTATCAGATTAACCTACATTTCTATTATCAGTGATTTTCTTTTTTTAATAAGAAAACTACAACTACAAATTAGGATGTCTGCTGCAGGAAAGAGAAACAGTAAAGTAAAGCATAAGAAAAAAGAAAAACATGGAACATTTTCTTCCAGGCTGCCATTTGCACCTACTGCTTTGCTTTTCAGAAAGAAAAGGTTTAGTTGTTTTTAATTTCTGAGAAGACTGTGACCTGCATTCCATTTAAAAGGTTCACTCACAAATTTCTACCTGCACTCAGCCTAATAACTGCACAAAACATAATCATTCTTTCTTTACTAAATGCAGGAAAATCAAATATGTTATTCGACTGGAGAGCAACATACCAGACAACAACATGGGATCTTTGTCTGTAGACTTTTTGACATGGTCGGACTCTCCGGTCAGTGACGATTCATCAATTTTCAGGTCATTGCCCTGAATCAACACTCCATCAGCCGGGAGAAGATCACCTGTATCAACACAAAAAATCTGGTTTCCAATCTTAAACTGTTTTTGACAGAGAAGACACTTTGACTAACTACAAAAATGTGCTGTAAAAATTGCAGTTAATAACTCTCTGTGGTCAAACCGAAACCAAAACTCCTTGGTGTGTGTTCGCCTTTATAACAGCTTAATCATACAGCCGTCTCCCAGACTTCCTAAGTGTCTACAGGAGTGATTCATCACTAAATGAAATAAATAAGCTGTGTTCATGCTCTAAAACATGCAGGAAACGTGCTCAAACCAGACTGCCACGCCAGGTATGTCAGCTCCATTGTTTTTCTAAGTCCCAACACAGCGGCTCGCCAGGCTAAAGCTACAAGTGTGATATTCTGGCCACAGAGGGCGGTGGGGGTCTGACTGACATTCCGTTAACCCTGTAAAGAGTCACTGTTGCACAAACTGGCTCAAGAAAATGATTTAAAAATATGAACAATTTGCTAAGTATGGCTTTAAAGTGCACTTTTTAACTCTGTCTTGCCATGTGGTGTCAGCATTAATTTATGTAGCTAGCTGAAGCAGATTTCATGTTTTTATATTTTAGTTTTATTGATTATTTTTTGCAAAATATTTTGTGTCTTTAAAAATCTTTGAATTTGGTCAATTCCAAGCAGCGTTTTTGTTGATTTAGTCTGCTCACCTCACATGGACTCACACTGACTAAATAAACAAAGAAAGTAAAAAAAAAAAAACTTAGAACAATTACTCCTTATATTTTAAACAGCTTACCAATAATGGGTTGCTAACATAATACTGGCAAGAGTAAAAAAGTTACAAATAAAAAAAATAAAGAAGGAAACAGTACCTGCTGCAATCGGGATGTAAACCTGTGCAAAGCTACTTGCAAGTCTGGCACTATAATCACTGGACCTCCAAGTCTATTGCAAAGAAATAGTTGCCTGAAGTTTATAGTATATTGCCTAGTTTATACTTCTCCATGAGCTTGAGAGGGTACCCATCACTTTCAATGGATAATAAAAAAGTTGGGCATGTCTCTGTTGCCGTCTGCAAGCCCATCAAAGAGCCCTTGTGCCGACAACAAATGGCGTTGCATGTCTCCGTACCAATGCAGACGGAGAAGTATAAATTGAGATTAAGCTACAAATCCTGTATTGGCCAGGGGAGGCAGGTTGCAGATCAGAGACTAGCTCCCGGGAGAGGAGCAGGGTCTGATGACATTTGTTTCCATTGACAGGATTTTCTAAGTAAATCTCAAAATCTGCAAGAAACTGCATATATGCAGCCAAAAACGGGCTAGGGTTATTTATTTATTTTATTTTTATTTTTTCATGAGGAAATAACAGTATCATATGGTTAAAAGTGCCAAAAAGAGACTTTTACATGATATGGCCCCTTTAAATAAATCGGGCTGCTCAAGGTAGATTTCACAACATTTAATCCCCTTCTGGAAATTAGGTTATAATCTGTATTTAAGATTTTGAAGATTAGTTCACACATGATAAAGAACTATTGAGCCAGTGAAAGCAGTCGGAGGGCATTTCTGACAAAGCTAAATATATCAGAACTTATTTGAAAGTTGGATTCATTTTCCACAGTAAAGATCCAGAACAAAGAATCAATAAGACACTTTTTAAACATAAAACCTTCTCACACCCACCATATTTGATCTGTGCGATGTCCCCTACTACAATGTCAGCCACGGGCAGCTGTATGACCTGGCTGCCTCGGACCACCTGGAATTTTTGCTCTTGCTCAATTCTGCTCTGGAGTCCACGGAACTGCTTCTCTTTGGACCAGTCATTGAACGCAGTCACTAGAACTACACACACTACAGACAAGAGGATGGCTGCACCCTCGATCCAGCCGGCCTCTGACTCGCCTTCATCCTCCACTCCACCCGCCGCTGCACCACACACTGCAAAACAAGAAGAATAAAGTGCACAAAAACAGGCATAGTGTGTTTTATTCCATGCACAAAAATGCAGAATGTAATCTTCTATGTAAGAATGCTTTTATTCTCTGAGTCACAATGACTTAACTATGATGTTGGGGAGCCACGGTCAGAGCATTGCTGCCAAATATTAAAGCTATGCATATTTAAAAATGTTATCATATATGTTTTATATTAAATGGATGGGATGCATGTGGGTATCTTCTCAGTCATTGTAAAAATCTTTGCAATATGAAAGACAACTCTGAAATTAAATTATCTCTGGCTTAAAAGGCCCCAGGAGAATTCACTTCTCTCTCCTCTTTCATGTGCCCTGCTTCAAATAAAAAACCCCATTCCACTGGCTGCATGCCGATAGGATAGGTTATATTAGGGAATGAAACAAGGCTTATTCCCAGAACTCTTAGTCCTGCATCATGTAATAATAGTGGCGCTTCTGTATTTTGAACTAAAGGAAACATAAACTTTAATAGTTTACCTAAAAAGGCCCTACATTTTATTGGTTAAAGAGCAAGTCACCCCCTACCAGAGTCTAACTCCACTCTCACTTCATGTTTAAAAAATGCAACACATGCTGTTGCCTGGCAGACCGAGAGGGCGGAGCCACAAACAAACACACACACACAGGCTCACCACATCATTGTGACATCATAATGTACCAGTTTACATCATAGCATATCTCTTAGCCAATAGTGGTGGCAGATTTAAATTCAAATATTGTGCAGAGTTTTTACCTGACAACGGCACAACACGGCCAATTTTAGGCAGAAAATTAAAATTTTAACTAAAATGCACTAAAGTGCAAAACTATTGACTGCACGTGTCTGCAGCATGATTAGACACTCGTTTATTTAGTTTATCAGGGGAAAAAGTTGATTTGGGGGTGACTTGCTCTTTAAGTTTATTTCATCCTGCTTGGTCACTGCAGTCCAGCAAATACTGTTTTCAGGCTGTTTCTTCATGCTTGGGTCTGAAAACTGATGCCCACGTAACCTTTGTTATTTCTGTCAGTCAAATGAAACTCATCAAGTTTAAAAATACATAAAATAATATGAAGAGATGAGGAAAATCATTGACATGATGAAGATTTTTATTTGATGTTATAAATATATTATTAAATAACATTAGCTTGTTTAACATCAGAATCAGCTTTATTGTCATTGAACATGGAAAAGTGACTTCACAGCACAACCCACAGCATATTAAAAGTAACTTAAATAGGACACATTTTCATCAAAATACAGAAAGGTCTGAATTCTTCATGCTGCTGAAAGTTTAAATATTTAAAAAAATTCCTTTCAGGTAGCTTGGAAGTTCACTTTCTTGAGTGAGAAATGTGAGGCCACTGTGAGAAAGTTTGGCAACCAGTTTTTAAACAAATTTGAATGAAACTGAGACACAAAACTGGGGTGAGTAAATTTGCACAGAAAATGTGTTGCAAAAGCATTCTATGTACAAAGTCAGCAGGATTCCAACTGAAACTTTTCATATTTTATTCTAAATATGTCACCAATCAGCACAGTCCAGTGGCGTATGGGATATATACATCTTCCCTTTGGAGTTGACTCCCGTCTAGCTGGTCATGTGGGCCTTCCATGAGAGTCTGTTCCTACTTCTCCACGCCAAGATTTTTCTTGGCGTGGAGAAGTAGGAACAGACCTTTAAATGTAACCATTAGCATCCTCCGTGCTATTGTCATCAGCATTTTTAAATTGCTTTAGAAGATGTCTGCATCCTGTTGGAAGGAAAATGAATGTATTTTTTGTGATAATGTTAGAATTAATGGCTCTTGTTGCTGACTCAGCATCACTTCACAGTCTATGCCTTCAATTCCTGTCTCATGGCTCACAGAGTTGATGTATGGATCCCTGGGAGCTCAAGGTTATTTCTCCTCTCAACACTTCGTTAACCTTTCCAGCGCCTTTCTTATGCACAATTAATAAAGTCATAATGTCACAAATACACAAATAGTCACACACACACAAATTAGTCCTGCATCTCACGAGTCAGCTGACCTGTTAAAACAGGTCAAAAACAAATTGGGACCTGTCTAAGCAATTAAAAAGTGTGTTTAAATGTGATTGTGAGTCGGTGAGTGCCACTACACTCACCCTGTCCGCTGCTCTCTCCAGGAGGGTGGTAGAAGGAGAGGCCCAGTGAGATGATGGCAGCAATCTCGAGGATTATTAGAGTAACGTCCTGTAGCGCCTCCCATACTAGCTGTAGAAAGGTTTTTGGCTTTTTTGGAGGTATCAAGTTTTTACCAAATATTTCTTTTCTTTTGTCCAAGTCGGTTTGGACACCAGCAAGACCTGAAAAACAAAAAGGCATAAAGACTCTTCAAATGATTTCTGATAACACCTAGAAAAAAAATGATCATAAGCATAAAAAAAACATCCAGGAACAGAAAAGTATGCATCTTTTGAACTTATTTATAAAGACGAACATTCGTCTAATTTACAAAGTCGGCATCACCCCAAACTTTGAGGCTGACTAAATAGCATCTGGCTGCTCTTGTAAAGTTTGCTAACATTTTAATGTGGTTTAATTTAAGCATTTAGGGGGAAACTATATTCATGGTAATTACAGCCATGGCAAAGAGCGTCGGATTCTCTGTGGTCTGCAACAAGCAGCTGGCATGAAATATTTACTCCTGAGAGTTGGTGGTAATTGCAACTTAGAAAAAAGAGGGCATTTGCCTTCAGAAATACCAGAGCAGCCATGTTGCAAAAACTATAATTCTGCAACTCTTCCTGTGATGAGGATTTGAGATTGTTATAAATGATTTCTGTGATATAAAGATAAACAGTCAAAGAAATAAAACTAATACTATAACTGCTGTTTCACACAGAGAATACATATTCATACTGTGTGTGATTATACAATATTTCAATAAATTGTGTTTAACTTTCAGAGACCAATAAATATAAGTCCAAGTATGTAAGTGGTGTCAAAACAGGAATATTTCTCTGTTCCAGTTCCAGGAGCTGTTGGAGGGAGGACTAGCTTTCTCCGCAATCAAAGTTTACATGGCAGCTATTCTGCTTGTCATATTGGCACAGATGGGGTGACTCTGGGGGGCACACCCCCTGGCTGGCCGTTTCTTGAAGGGGGTCCACAGGCTGAGACATAGCATCAAACCAAACGTTCCTTCCTGGGATCTAGCTCTTGTGCTGGATGCTCTCTGTGGTGCACCAATTGAACCACTTGAGTCGAATGATATGGAGGATTTATCATATAAGATAGCACTGCTTCTAGCATCTGCTAAACGTGTTGGGGACCTGCGTGCCCTTTTGGTGCACCTTTCGTGTGTGCAAATTGCTGCTGATGGTTCTAAGGTCACGTAACAGCCTAATGCTTTTATCTCCCATCTAGTGATTTCATCTAGCCACAGTTCCATGATCATCGAGTTGGCTAGTTTTTGTCCATTTCTGATTTCAAAGTAGGCTTCATTTTTGTGCCCGATAGTGCACTGCATGTCTACATCAACCATATACTCAGAATAAGCAGTTGTGTGATCAGCTGTTTGCTTGTTTGGCAAGCCAGCAAGGGTCTCCGTTTACCCTCAGGGAGTGAGAGCTCATTCAACCAGAGGTGTGGCTGCATCCTGAGCCCTTTTGAAAGGGGCCCCAGTGAGCGACATCTGTGCTGCTGTCAGTTGGTCTTCACCACAAACTTTTACCTGGATTTACTGTCTGGATGTTACTGCCTTGTCAGTGGCTTACTGTGTTCTGTCTGCGTCTCAAGGCTCACACTAAATTATCGCCTTTCGGGCTCATGTGTTCTATGGCTGTTCTAAGGGGTGTGTATATATATCCCATACTATATGTCAGTGGTCCTCAATCGACGGCCCGCAGGCCATGTGCAGTCCCCAGGGCGACTGGCGAATGTGAGGTGTGCTGCCACATACAGTAGAGGGCTGGTGTAATGAACAGCCAGTAGCAAGCAGGACAGGTGTTGTCCTTTCTATTGTAAGCTTGCCTGCTGGTGGTGGTCGGAGGGACCGGTGGCGCCAGTGCTCGGCAGCCTCGCCTCTGTCAGTGCGCCCCAGGGCAGCTGTGGCTACATCGTAGCTCATCCCCACCAGTGTGTGAATGTGTGTGTGAATGGGTGAATGACTGATTGTGTTGTAAAGCACCTTGGGGGGTTCCAGGACTCTAAAAGGCGCTATATCAAATACAGACCATTTACCATTTACCATCTTGTGTGTTCTGTGCATTACAGCCAGCAATCCAAACAGCAGCAACACCCCCACACTCCGACATTCATATAACAGCAACCCCCCAGCACCCCACTCCCGGTCCGTGTTCTCTGAAGGAGAGGAATGAGATACATCTTTATTGCCCCACTGTTCAGCCGGGCTGGGTGAAGAGTGGTTATTCAACTGGAGCATGGTGTGTGAGCAGAGGTATTTATAAGCAGGTGGTCCTTGCCCCCTTACATCACACGCCATGTGGCCTAAAGGCATGATTAAAGGTGTCTTCAGTCAGACCATGCGAGGGCGTGATATCCCATACTATATGTGTTGTACCTATAGTAATAATGTTATGGCATTTAAGCTGAAAAATATTGATTCCCACACTATGTTAACAAATGCAAATGGGAAGTTTTTAGTTTCAAGATATGTTTTGTGGTTAAAAAATTACTGATCAGGTGTAGCATTGATCTTTTCATCTGATTTCCATTTTCAGTATTTCTTTCTGAAACCACAGACAAATCACTTCTAATTACCAGCTTGAATCTTGGGAGGGCCACAGATCTGCAGTTTTTACATAATTCTGCTGAAGCAATGAGGGCCTCATGCTTTGATTCTGTCCACCTCCTCATAAACTGTGAACTGTTGTACAGAAATATCTCTCCAGCTCTTTGATGCAAAGAGCTTCATGCTGGCTTGAGGCATGATTTATTTTTAGAATACAGTACAGCAAATTATTTTTACACCAGGTCAATAATAACCGAACAAACAGCTTTGGCAAGAGCAGTGTTTGAATTTTACTTTTCAAAAATTTGGAATGATTTAATAATTTAACGATTTTGTATTTTAGATATCATAATTCAAGTTCCATTCATATGAGTCTAAATGCAGTTTAATCTTCAATTGTTATGATAATTATATAAAAGGAGTACTGCACATTTTAAATTATCTGTCACTATAAAACTTCATTTTGGTATTCCAAAGCAAAGCATATCCTTCCTTTTACAGATTAACTTAAACTGAAACAAAGAAAAAATAACATTATACCATATGTATATATACACATATATATAGATATACATATATACACACCACATACACCACATAATTCTCATAGAATTCCACTCTTTCTTTCCTTGTGTAGTTTTTTGTTTACTTGTAGCAAGATAAAAGCAATTTCTCTTGACTAAACAAATAAACGATAAGTGGATTTAAAAGTGCAAAGTGAGCTCTGTCTGCACAGAATGTATTGTATTGATTCTCGCTGCTGATATAATTATAACCTCTTTTTAAACATCTGCCTTGTGGAGTGTTTTTACAAACTAACATATGTTGCTTTGCTTTCTTGAGAGACACAGTAGCAATACATATAGTCTTGGTTAAAATGATAGTATATTAAATCAATTACCTTACAGTTTCAAGGTAAATCTGCACTGTTGATTTGTCATAAACTGTTGTTGGCTATGAACTATTTACATTGTACCCTGCTCAAGCTACAAAGGTGAAATGAAGTGGATTTGGGGCAATGTAAATAAGTAGAATTAATGCTTTCAGCACTAAATCGTTATTTAGTTGCTGAGTGTGCACAATAACCACAGCGTATAGTCACAGTTGCTTTCTCTGTCTCCCTCACAACGGCACACATTCATTGCCCCTGCATTATGTCATCCCACCTACGTCACCGGGTCTCCCAGGATCGGCCCTGGATTGCACCAGATAATTGTGCTGCTGCCGAGGCTTCACTTCTGTGACAGTTGAGATAATTTGATAACACACACACACACACACACAACATCAGAAATATCGGGGAGAAATTTATTTTCCAAAAGACATCAAATAGAGGATGCTAGTGGACAGCAGACTCAATGAATGAAGCGTTTCTAGCGCCTACTTTGCACTGGTTCCATATAGATCAGGCTATAAATAGCTTCATTAAATATTCCCCTTTAATTGTCTCTGTGAGAAGGCATTGCATGCTCTCCCACTGATCTTCTCAGCACCCTGCCTTACATCACAAATAAACATGACTGCATGAGAGTGTGCCTGAACTGGTTTGAGTCGTGACCACCTACTTGTGCTGTTGTGTGGTGCAAGTATGCCTGCGCTACACTAATACACCAAAGTACTGAGGCTCATATTCATCAGCTGAAACTACTTGAACACATACAGACATAGACAAAATTGCTGGTACACTTCAGTTAATGAAACAAAAACCCACAATGGTCTCAGAAATAACCTGAACCGGACAAATGTAATAATAATTTAAAAAATCTATGAAATTTAACCATTGAAAGTCAGAAATTGCTTTTCAACCATGCTTCAATGGAATTATTAAAAAAATGAACTCGTAGAACAGAACTGGACAAAACTGATGTTACCCCTAAGTTCATATTTTGTTGTACAACCTTTTGAGGCAAACACTGCAATCAAACGATTCCTCTTTTAGAAAACAATGACGCCAATTTGCCGCAACGCTGAGCTGGCATCAGGGAGCCTTTGGTCATTTATAAGAAATTAGACCATGGCGGTAATATGGCACAATCATGTCCTTTTTACAAAAGATGCGCAAAGCCGGTAAAAAGGGGGGGAGGGGGGCGGCCTCTGCACTGCTGCAGACTTCCGTTTATCTTGTACATAATTGAATTGTATTGCGATCGAAGACATGCTCATTACATTTTTTAACAAGTCGCTCCTTAAAGGTGTCTGTCCTCCACAGTCCCTGTGCTGTATCTGGTGATCTGACCTCCATCTCTAATGGAGAGAATCTCCTGGAGCTCTGCATTGCTCTAGTTTATCATCTCAGTTGGTTCTGTTTTCAATAGCAAAACGTACAGCCCATGTTTACTTTTATTTTCAATATAATTGCCAGCTGGAGCTCGCCAGTAACTCCCCACGTGATGATGACACCTCTCTCTTTTGCACCAATACGTAATATGCATTCACAAGTCCGGTGTTGTGGCAATATAAATACCAAGCATGGTGGCACAAATGCCGCAAAATTCCTGCAATGCCATGCCGCCACGGAGCATTCATAAGACACATCATGGTGGCAGTATTACGCTGATTTGCAGGCATGGTGTGTCTTCCAAAAAGGGCTAATGAGACTTCTGCACCCCT